GGCCATAAAGGGACTTCACTTCTTCTTGTAGGGTGAGGAGGAAAAGAACAGATAATGAATCCTTCACAACCAAACTTGGCGCCCCCTTATATTAAACAAAAGTCTCCATATACTGAAGGACAAGAATATCATGAAGGAGAAATATGGTGAGTGGCGTTTGTCGAGAGTGTATGCCACTTGCCCTTTAACACCTCTCTCCTCCCAGGGAAGAAGGCATCTACCAGTTAGTATTGTTCTATGAGAAGTAGTTCAAGGTTATGTGGATGAAAGGAAGGTGTAGCCATGGGAGTGCTCAAGCAGCCTTTGGGGCCTTGGAGAGAGTCAGTAACCTATTTCTCTAAGTACTCGGATGCGCTCTCCAAAGACTTGCCTGCTTGCTTGACGGCCTTAATGGCTTTCAGTACAGTCACAAAAGAGCTCAACAAGTTTGCTCTGGGACATCCATACTCGTTTAAGCCTCACATTCGGTTATTGTTATTTTAGAACCAAGAAAATGTATGTCCTCTTGAGCTAGTGGGTCCATTGGAACATGCTGCTTGGAGTCCTCTAGACACCTTGTGTGCCAACCAGCCAGACTTTGCTAACCGATCATTAGAGGACTCAGTGCTGTGAGTGGTTCATGGATGGAAATAGCTTCATCTGAGATGGGTTATAGTTTTCTGCAGATGCCACTGTCTTCATGGAGAAGGCTCTTCATGTTCACAAAGTGATAAGGAAAAAAGAGAGGGTTGCTTACTTTCCAAGAGGAGAAAGTCAAGTATGGAGCTGAGATTAAAAGTCTATTCAACGTGCTTCTTAAACTCCAAGAGGTGGCAGCTGCATATTTTCAGGCTCACCTGAAAGGAAGAGAGCCCTCGGTACAGCAGAGGGGACTTACACAGATCTGAGACCTGGAGAGGAGCCAAAAAAACAAAAAGGTGATGACAAACACTTCAAAGAAAACCTTCAATTAGCTATACCATAAAGTTCCAAGATTACATCTAAGACTTACTTTAGGAAAGAAATGAGGCTTGACTGGATAACTCAGCATGCCATAGGAGAAAAGCCAATAAAACAAAGTCAACATATTGTGGACTTTCACTTTGTCTGGTCTAAATAGACCCCTAAATCACAGAGCACCAATGTATGAGTGTCTTCTTAGGAGAAGACTAGAACGTGAATTTTACTAAAGTTTTAAAAACTAAAAAAGGGTGCTTGCTTCGGCAGCATATGTACTAAAATTGGAACAATACAGAGAACATGATCATAGACCCTATGCAAGTATGACAAACAAATTCATAAAATGTTCCATATTTTTTAGAAGTCTGGAGCAGACCCATCACAAAAGAAGAAACTGAACAGGTGATGAAAATACTTGCCCACAAGAAAAGTCCTGGACTAATAAGATGATTATTGTAGAAATAAAAGATAACTAGTAGCGACCTCTCTAAAGTACTGAAGAGCAACAGCGTCTCTCTGGAGACTAAGGTGCATCTGATACAGGCCATAGTCTTTGCAATCACTTGTTATGCATTAGAGAGTTGGACAATGACTAGGGAGGATAGAAGGAAAATGGATGCCTTTGAGCGTTGGTGTTGGAGAAGAGTATTGAGGGTACCATGGACTGCTAAGAAAACAAACAGATTCATCCTGGAGGTGGTTAAACCCGGCTGCTCCTTGGCGGTAAGGATTCTGAGGCTTCGTCTGGCATATTTTGGTCATGTTGTGAGGAGAGACCAGTCCTTGGAGAAGGACATCATGCTTGGGAGGGTGGAGGGACGGCGCAGGAGGGGAAGGCCTTCTATGAGGTGGATTGATTCAGTGACTGGGGTAATCGGGATGGGTGTGTCAGAGACAGTGCGACTGGCACAGGACAGAGCAGAGTTTAGGGCTGTTGTACATAGGGTCGCTATGAGTCGCAAACAACTCGACGGCGCACAATAAAACAACAACAACAAGAACAACAACAGTAAAACATGTATGAGGGTCTGGGGTGGGGAGGGTAGAGTAGGAGCAGAAGAGTGAGGATGGGTGATGGTAGAGGGAGTGATGGGTAAAGGAAATGGGAAAGATCCAGTGTGAAAAACAATGTATATGAACTTTGTAAGTAAACCAGTATAAAATAGATTTTTTTTAAAAAAAGAACCAACTCAAAATTGAGACGTTGTGGTACATTCACCAATGGAATACTATGCAGCATGTGAGAGCAATGATTTTGTAAATTACTACCTAGCTTGGGAGGGACTGGAGAGCATTATGCTGAGTGAACTAATTCAGTCCCATAAGGACAAATACTGTATAAAACCATTATTGTAGAATGAGTGTGAAGACTGGGGGGAGGGTGGAAGCAGAGGGGTAAAGATGGGTGGGGAGGGGGTGGCATTAATCATAAGGTTGCACAATTTGAGTGTGTGGGGGTGAAGGAAGTGGGAAAGATCATGTGTGAAAAACAATGCATTTGAACTTTGTAAACAAATCAGTATAAAATTTAAAAAAAGAGAGAAGGCAAGGAGGGGAAAGGTGACTACAACAATGAAAACAGAATGAGGGGAAATGAGAAAACATCAGGTACATTGTAAAAGTTATAGCCAATGGTATGAAACAAAAATAAAAATTATTAAAGAAGAATCTAAATTAAAAAATAATGGACTCAAGTGCTTAAAAGCATTCGAGGACACATTTTCACACTATTTAGAAGCAGCTCCTTGTATAACGGAGACTGACTAAGGGATGAAGCACTCCTAAGAGACATCGTTCCCAGGTTCAGTTTGTCTAGAAGATTTGGCAGTGACAACGGCTCCCACCTTGAGATTATAGTACAAAAAAATAACTCCAGGATTTTAGAAACTATGTGAAACTTAATGTAGTCTGTAGGCCTCAATCTAGTGTTAGAACAAATGAAGAGACATCTCAGTAAAATGTGTCAAGACCCTGGGTAATATCGCTACTGGGAGTTTTATAAGCCCCAGGGAAGGATTATAAGTAGTCCTTTGAGATAATGTATGAAAGGCTTGACTTAATTAACAAGAGTCCCTGTGAGTATCTATATAGTAACGTGTAGACACTGACACCGAAAAATTTCAGCAAGTACCATATAAACAGGAGCCAAAGATAATGAAGGAGGAAGAGGAAGCTTACTTGGCAAAATATAAGGCTCAGGAATTGGTAAGACACAAACTGACTTGATTCAATTAAGGTGCAGCCCTAGATGCTCTCACCAGTCAATGCCAGGAAATCTGGAGGACAGCTGTCTGGCCAATAGATTGGAAGAGGTCTGTATTTGTTCCCATTTCCAAGAAAGGTATCCAGCAGAATGCGGAAACTATCAAACAATGCCATTAATATCATGTGCCAGCAAAATACTGCTGAAGATCATAAAAAAAAATGTCCAGAACAGTACATAGTTAGGCAACTTTCAGAAATTCAAGCAGGATTTAGAAGAGGCTGTGGCACCAGGGACATCATTGCTGATGTCAGATGGATCCTGCTGGAAGTAAAGAATATCAGAAAAAAAAAGTCTATTTATGCTTTATTGACTATGCAAAGCAATATGACTGAGTGGATCATAACAAGTTATGGTTGACATTTAGAAGAATGGGAATCCCAGAGCACTTAACTGTGATCCTGTGGAACCTATTCCTAGACCAAAAGGGTGTTGTGCAAACAGAGCAAAGAACACTAACTACATGGTTTAAAACTAAGAAGGGAGTGCATCAGGGTTGTATTCTCTCTCCATACCTATTCATTCTGTATGCTGAACAAATTATTATTTTTTTTTAGGCAAATCATCTTTTATTTTAACCCAAACTTGTTAAAGGGGCAGAAAAAAGACCATTGTAAATTTGAGTAACAGCACAAAATGTTATCCAAATTGAATAATTTATTGCTGGTCAGAAGCTCGCCTTGTTTTACATTTAGTAGCAGGTATTCATATTACAGGAATTTGATACTGACTTATTCAATAAGGCAATCATGTCGGTAGCAAACTTTTATTCAAATCTTACATAACTAG